AGGGAAAGTTTGAGACTCATATGTGTATGTAGGTTGCCCACTTCCAGCTCAGGGATGGCACAGACCACCCTCACCTGGACAGGGACTGCCCATGTCCTGCCCCACTCATTGATTATTGGATTGGAATCAACTGGTTCTGCCTTTCCCATGGGGTAGCATAAGTTTTAAAAGCACCTAAAAAGGAGAAGCACACTGTCTCTGCCTACAGATTCCATCTGAGCCCCACCATGTTCCCTTTTCTATTTCCCTTCCTAACTTTTAAAAAACTCCCTTTATACCCACATGTCCTGCCATGGATTCTTCCATGCGGAACAAAGAATTTGCAAATCTTCTGATCATGGACTTCACCAGTGGCATTAACAATTCTTGTCCTTCTCCAGTCCTCCTTCCTATAGCATCAAGGGTCATTTGTCTTAAAATTCAAATTTCACCAAGTGGCTTACTGTTTAAAATCCTTTTTGCAAGGTCCTAACTCAAATTAGCCCAACCTACTCCGTTTGTAAAGGACTCCATCTTGTCTGGCAGGAAGGCTGTTTTACTTTGTTTTGCAGAAAGTGTTTTTCTGAACTCAAGCAGAACCTCACTTGCCTCTTGTTGAAAACATATTTGATCTAATGATGTCATAGAAAAGATTATATATGCTAACAAACAATCACCTTAGCAAAACACTGAGAAACTAACCACTCCAGTTACTTCCTGGAACAGCTAACTAAACCAAACAAAACCAAAACAAACAAATAAAACAAAAACATCAACAGCATCTTCCTTCTACATCTCAAATGCTTATAAACCCCACTTTTAACCTCATTCTGGGCCAATACCGCCTTCTTTGGAAAGTTAATAAAACTTTGCTTCTGCTTCAAATATTGTTTTGCTGTGAAATCTTTCACATCCTGTGCATTGGCCTCATGGACTGAGAACTAACACTTCCGTGGCTTCTCAATGCTTATAAAATATAGTCTAGACATTCCCTATTTCGGAACCTGCTCTACATGGTATATAAGGAAAGCTCCCTTTGTTCTCGGGCTCAGCCTTTGGACTCCGTTAGCTGAGTTGCTGCTGGCTTGCTTAGTAAACTGAAAGCTTTGGTGCCCCATCTCTCTCACTGAGCACTCCAACAACACTAATACTGCATCTCCCTCAAGGTCTCTTTCCTGTCTTTCTTCTTGACTCACGACAACCAGCTATTCTAGTCTTCTTTCAGTTCTCTGTCTTGCCAAATGTGTTCTTATCTATGAAAATGCTTTTCCCTCATTATACCTTTCCCATATTTTTTCTACCTTTTCCTATGTTTCTCCCTATCTCAGCCTTTTTTTTTAGTTCTTTGCACTCTTGAAGTGTGTTATCATTTTATTTTTGTTTTTTCTTAATGTTATTTACTTATTTAGCAAGCTCTGTGAGGAATGAGAGTCAAACACTCTATTTTGCACATTTTTTTTACCCAGCTGCCTCTTTGTTCTTCTTGGCATATCATTTCTTAAATAACACTTCCTGAAAATAAATCCTGCTGGACCAATGTAATGCCAATAGAAGAATTATCATTGGGGAAGAGAAAGTACATCAATTTCAGTGAGACTAAAAGGAACAAGAAATATTAAGCACAGACCTATAGAGGTTTGGAGCATTGGGACAGGAAGTTACCTGAAGGCTTTGATTCTCAAATTGCATACCTATTAAAAGAAATGCAGAAGTTACTGTTAGGTTCCAGAGCAGAGAGAAAAGAAAAGAAACAGAGAGCAAAGCAGCTCAGCAGCAACATAGAATTTACTTGGGAACCTGCAGAGGGAGATACCAGCTCAAGCTGGATCCTGCCCTTGGTTCACAAACTGGGTCAGTTATAGGTTAATAAGGTGCCTATGTGCTGCTCTGGGTGAAGGGAAATTCTTTCAGTTTGCTGTTCTGGATGGGTGAATTACTTGTCATTGGCTGTTGCTAGGATACCAGCTCTTCAATTAAGCCACATTCCTACCAAACAGGATATTTGCTAGAGACCCTGTAGGCATTTTCTTTTCTTTTTTTTCTTTTTCTTTTTTTTTTTTTTTTTTTTTTTTTGCATCATAGCCTGAGCTTGGGACACAGGGAGGAATCTAAGACGGCAAGATCATGCTGACAATTAGCAGAGGCAATCTCGAAGGAAAGCTAAATGGTCCAGGTGGTGTTGGAGACCATGACACTGATCTGAATGAGTAGAGTTGAGAGATTTTTTTCCAGCCCTCCTCAGTAGTATAGGCATTGGGGAGAAAGCACTCAACTTCATTGTAACAGTGCTGAAAGTCTGAGAAGGAGATGTAAAGAAAGTTAGAAGGGGTTAAAAGCTTGAAAGTTATGATGAAAGTGACTGAGGTAATTAAAACATACCTTAGATTAAGCAAGGAACAAAATAAGTCAAGCTAACAACTTGTGACAAAATGGGTTACAAGACGAAGAGATTTCCATAAGGTAAAGAGTAGTCAGGAGACTGTACATGTACCCCAGCACAGGAGGCTCATGCCTATAATCCTAGGCTCATGCCTATAATCCTAGGCTCGTGCCTACTTGGGAGGCTGAGATGGGGAGGACTGATATTTGAGGCCACACTGGGCAAATAGTTTGAGAGACCCCCATCTTCAAAATAACAAGAGCAATGGACACTGGTGGCTCATGCCTGTAACCCTAGTTATTCAGGCAGCAAAGATTAGGAGAATTGTGGTTGGAAGACAGCTCTTGGCAAATAGTTCAGGAGACCCTATCTCCAAAAAAAAAAAAAATCACAAAAAAGGGCTGATGGAGTGGTTCAAGTGGTAAGAGCAGGTAAAGAGCACTTGCCTAGCAAACATGAGGCCCTGAGTTCAAATACCAGTGCCACCAAAACATAAATAAATAAAAATAACCAGAGCAAAACAGACTGGAGGTGTGGCTCAAGCAGTAGAATGCCTGCTTTGCAAGTATGAAGCACTGAGTTCAAATCCAGTCATATGGTGAGGGGAGGATTGTACAAGTGAAGCAGATAATGAAAAGACACATGGATCAGAAGGTTTAACACCATACAATGGATTTGGAAGTGATCCCATTGATCAAAGGAGGTGGTAAGGGTTGTGAAGAGGGCTGTACAGTAAAAGATCTTGAGAGTAAGATCTGAAAAGCAAAATTTCTTCTAATACCTTTTAATACCTATCAACATTTCAAGTCTGTAGTGTCTCCAAGAATGAAAGACTAAAAGAATAATTTTACAATGACTAAAAGAATAATTTTTTTCAGTGGTAAAATAAGGCCAACTTAAGTATTATTAACAAGCAATTCACACATTTCAACAATTTCTAGAGGCTGTTTGATAAGTGATTCAGGAGAAACCCAGATCAGTCAAAGATAATACTCACTGAGAACATTTTTTCCTCCTGGTTCAGTGAGTATTTCAGGAATGTATTTAATGAGGCATTGGCATTAACCAGCCAATCCCTGGGTCTCCATTGCCTCCCCAGAACACCAGAGCTAAAGAACAACTAGTTTTCTCAAACATTCTGTATCCTCACATTAAGAAGAATATCTGTAGTTGTTTGCCTCACTCAACACATATTTATTGGTAAAATGAAGCTACTTCAGGTGTGAGTCCACAATAACAGCAGGCTGGTGAAATGACAAACCAAAATACAAGTCTCAGTGGAATCATAGCAGGCAAGTGAAGATTAGATGACAATAGTCAGAATGATAACAAGCACATGTGCATAACACTGTGCAAATCATGTCACATGTATTTAGCTTCCTTGACCCCCACAACAATCTTGTGAGGTGTTATGCTCCCCTGTTTTAAAGATGGGAAGCGGTAAATATTTCAGTAATTTCTTTTAGGCAATACACTCAACTTCCTCTATTTCCCAATAACAGTACTTCTGAGAGATAGCATGTTATGTGATAGCTTAGCACTACTCAGCAAGATAGTGTCACAGGAAGGAGCCCATTCAGACTTAGTTCAGTTCTTAGTACTCCAAGAACTGGAGAGACACACCAGATGGGCTCAAAGCAGAGAATGTACTTTCTGCCATAGCTCCACTAGGTGGCAGTGAGGGCCACTGCAAGAGTAGACAGGGTTTTCTTTCTTTTAAGTGGTGTAAAAAGGAAGGAAGGGTGCCGCAAAGCAATACCATTATTTTAGAGTTAAAAACGTGCACGTGTACCTGCACTTGTGCATGCAAGCAAGTGTGTAAGTATTTGTTTCAGGACAGAGGAACTGAAGAATTAATAGTACTGTTATTGCCTCTACACATTTTTTTTCATACTTCTAGTGGGTAGGTCCAATGTGAGAGATTTTGGTACTATGACTGTGTTCTCTTAGCTCATACCTAATTCTAGCAATCCCATTTTTGGATTCTACATGGGCAGGTAGGTAGTACAGAATGTACAAAATGATCATTGTCACTTAGCATAATTGGTTGTTCTCTCAAGAGGAAAGATGCTTCTGTGCATTCAGTGCATTGAAGTCAATGGCTGTGTTTACTCTTTCTCCTCAAATTTACCACAGCTTACTAGCTGGCAGAGAGAAAAGCAACTTGCAGCATCACAGGCGTAAAGGAATTTTCTGTGCACTCAATAGTTGAATAAATTCAAGACAGCTTGATACTTTCCTGGTTTAAAAGTAGTAATCAACAAAGATGAATTGCAAACTTTGGTCACTGGATAAAGAATTAGAGTTTCAAGTATATTCTAAGGCCATACCATCCTGAACACACCAGATCTCATCTTGGAAGCTAAGCAGGAAAGGGCCTGGTCAGTATTTGAATGGGAAACCACCTGGAATTACCAAGTGCTATAGGCTTAAAAAAATAAAAAAGAATTCCAAGTACAGCATTCAATATCAGAAAGTATGTATGGCTGTGAATGAATGGTGAGAACTGGTCTTTTCCACAGAATGTTTAGATGTGATCCTAAACCTTCTGGGAGTTAGAAAAGAAAATGTTCCATTTGTTTGGGGCTCCCTACAGATGCTGGGGATACTGCAGTCACCACGGACAAAATCAAAGGTGCTCTCAGTGTGAAGGAGGTTCAATTAGAGAAGATGCCTTCTCCATTGGAGGGAGCTGCTTTTCCTCTGGCACCGAGGGTAAATCTGGTGTTTTCTGCCCACACCTTGCTACTGTGAAGCGAGTCATATGAAGAGCTTCCTCATACCCTGGGAGAGTGTCCAAAGAGGAGGGCAGTTGGCTCAGGGAGCTGTGTGAATGAGCAACAGCCAAGATTCTCCGAGCTGCAGGGCCAAACACTGACTGTAGAGCTGTGAGGAAAGAAAACAGAGCTAGTATAAAGGTAATGTCCTCAGGCAGGCACCAGAGGTTCCCAACATACTTCCTGTCTCTGACTCATTTTTAACAGGTATCCAAACTCATTGTCACTCCCTGCTTGAGATAATGGAAATCCTTCAGAGCTTATTTAGAAACCAACTGTACACTTTTATAGAAAAATGTGTCTTCTCTGGAGTCTCCAAAAAACCTGAATTGTGTCTCTATAAACTCACAACCCCTTCTTCCCCATCCATATTTCATACCAACCTATCAACATTACAGACCCCTTGAGAATATTTACTTCAACTTTCTTTATGTTTTCTCTAAGATGACAATGAGAAAAAGGAGGAAGGAAAGGTAAAGAGCAACATGCCATATTTTTCTCTTTTTAAAATAAATGTCAGCATTTTGACATCTGGTGTTCTACCTTGCACTTAACTCCCCAATTTTAGGGAAGAATATAGTATAAAGAACAGAACATATAGCAAAGTTTCTTAAAATAACCATCAAAGAGGTGGAGGGGCTAAAATTCAGCATACTAAGATATGAGGAATGCAAAACCAAAAGTGCATTTTCCTTAAAGATATAAAATAGTGTAGATACTAGGAAATGCAGGTTTTCACAAAATCCAAGATAGTATAAAAGAAGGATACATTTAGAATTTAAGATAGTTTCAACAAAGTAACTATTTATGAGCTAGTGGTTCTTCTTATAAAACATGTCCACTGTTATCTCTAATATTTCAGTTCCTTCTTCACTCTACTAACATCCAGACAAATATCTGAGATTACAGTATCAGTGAGAAACCAGGTCATTGTACCGCTCGGCTTCTGGAAAGTAAAACTAACTGGAATCCTAGAAACTTTAGTACTATACCTTTGTACCCTTCTAATCATTCATTTAAACCTGAGTTTCTCCATTCATGTTATAACATCAGTGCACTCACAAGTGATGGTGTTCTGGAGAGTGCTGTCTTGATCAAAGGAGATGACAGTCACTTCACAGGGCTGTGGGCCCTGGTCTTCCACACTTTGCTGGTGGCTCAGGCAGCAGCGGAAGCACACAGAAGTCAGGCCGCACAGGAGGAGCAGCACGCCAAATACCACCAGCAACCTGCAGGAATCCACGAAGCAAGGCCAGTTCTGGTGTAACCAGTCTTTAATGTCAGTCTGCCTCTTGAGACTCAGTAGGTTTTTTTTTTTTTTTTGTACTGGGTGGTTCTGAGGTTTGAACTCAGGACCTCACCCTTGCCAGGCAGGCGCTCTTGCCACTTGAGCCACTCTGCCAAGCACTTCTTTGTGATAGGTTTTTTCAAGATAGAGTCTCTGGAACTCTTTGCCCTATGGCTGACTTTAAACCTCTATCCTCTTGATCCCTTCCTCCTGAGTAGCTAGGATTATAGGCGTGAGCTGTGGGTAGCAGGCTTCATTAATGTTTCATAGAATAATTCCCAGATTTTAATTTCAAGGCTTTCATTTTACATATAAAGCTATTTTTCAGCAACATTAAGTAAGTTCACTAAAGCAAATAAGATATTTAAGAATAGTTTGAAGGGGCTGCTTTTTACCTCACTGAAGTGAACCCCTATGTAGAGATATTTCTCAAGCAGATGTTGAGGGAAAGACACAATAATCTTTTGATGTTGGCTGAAGAGATCATATTGAAATAGGAAATCCAGCCAGGCACAAGAGGCTCACGCTTGTAATCTTAGCTACTCAGTAGGCAAAGATCAGGAGGACCATTGTTTGAAGCCAGCCCAGGCAAGAGAACCTATCTCGAAAAAATCCTTCACGAAAAAAAGGGCTGATGGAGTGGTTTAAGGTGTAGATCCTGAATAAAAAAGAAAAAGAAATGAGAAATCCTGTCATATTCATATTGATTACTGATGGGATAAAGAAAGCTTACTCCAGGAAATACTAAGCAGTCAGACTGATTCTTTCTTCTCAAAATAAATGTACATGAAAACTTAAAAAATTAAAATGCCATTGAAAAATGAAGTATCTTTGTGGATATTATAACTGAAACTTACCATATATACCAGAGATGTACCCAGTCTGTGGTCAAGCAGCTATAGACAAAGAATAAAGTTCATTACATTACAAGTCAGAAATACGAATTTTAATAATTATGTTGTTACCTATGATACCATGTTGTAATGAAATATCAAAGATTATTTTATTTAAACTTCAATATAACTAGCCAATTCTATTGTGAAATGCTGTGCCTTAATTAGTGCTTTATCTATAGGTAGCATTGTGCAGATCATTTTGTAAATCACTCCAAAATGCACTAAAATTGCAATCAGGAAAAGTGCCAACAGAAAAATGTACCTATGATTATTATAAATGATTATGATGAAAATTGCCAAAAAATAACTTAAAAAACAAATTTATAGAGTGAGTTCAAAGTGTACATGAATGTTAAGGATTGTGTATATTTGAGGCCAATAAAATGTAAACAAAAAAGAAAATTTCAGTTAAAAACATGAAATCAGGATTGGCAGAGTGTCTCAAGTGGTAGAGAACTTGCTTAGCAAGCATGAAGCCCTTAGTTCAAATCCCAGAACCAACCAAAAAAACAAAAAAGCAAAAAAGACTATGAAATCTATAAAATTGGTAATATCTGTTTCACAAGCTCTTGCAATGTCCTCACCATAAAAAAGGAACCTAAACTTTCTGTCAAAAATGAAAACTGATATGGCCTATCCATTGAGAACAAACAGGAAGGGAGAGAAAAAAGAAGCCAACATCACTATGATGAAACCTAACTAAATATTCTGAATTAACTCTGGCAATTGTAAACTTTCTCTCTAGGAATGAAAAAAAACAGGAATTGCATGGGAGAAGGAGTGTGAGATAAAATTAGGAATAGGAAGAGAGGAGAAAGAAAGTCTGTGTGCATGTTTGTAGATTAGTGAACTTTATCATGGGATAATACTTTCCTGTACATTGATCCACTGAAATCTATTAAAATCCACTTCTGCATTCCTTCTTTGGTTACACAGTTGTAGAAAATACAGTTTGTGCTTTCCCCAAACAATGTATCATCTTGCTTTTTTCACACTCTTCATTTATTCAAAACTCTACTAGTTCTGCATTTGATTCTGATTGTATAAGGGAAGAACTCTTCCTGTGGCAGTAGACTTAAAACCTCAGACAGCATTTGTTAAGTAGCCAAGGTCTGATGTGCAAGTGACAAAAGTGACAAGTTGTAAAGGTAACCATCATCTCTCACAGCCTGAACAAGTTTCTGTTCACTGCCCTACTTTATTTATTTTTCATAGTTATAAGTAGAATGATTCTCTTGTAGAATGTCTTTACATTCTGCATTCCCTGTATCTATATAATACTAATTGCAGCAGGGTTAGATTCATGGACCACTCCATCATAGTAATAGCTAAATGAAGTCTGCAATATTTATGAATGTGTTCTGAAAATTAGAAGGTGATTTTCAGATTTGAAGTGGTGAGGTTGCTTTGGAAATCACCAAATAGAAATGCCTGTGACTAGATATTGAATCTTGTCTGCCCTGATGAGTCACTGACAAGCATGGCTAAGTCTTTAGCCCATCTCTATGACTACAGATATTGAGATAAATTGTGCAGCATTGATAGGAAGATTGTCATTGGGAAAAATTCTGTCAGCAGGGTTATTTTGACTACTTACGATGACACAGGCATGCCTGTGATGGTTGGTGGATGACCATTTAGGGAGAAGTATGAGGAAGTCATAGACATTTAATGACATTGTGACCCTTGTCTGGGTGTTGATGCTTTTGTCTCTCCCTCCTTCCTCCAAGCTTGAACTCTAGTATACTTACTGTTCAGCATTAACACAGTTCTCTTCACATCTTGCCACAGAAAGCTGTAGGAAGGGAAATAGTCTCAGACAGTGAAATCATCTCATTTGCTATGTTCAGCAGTCTATTGACCATCTCTTACAACTGAGCTTGGTTATATCCACTGGTAAAGGTGAGGACCTGGTAAAAAGGTCAGTACATTTCTAGGACTTTGACTTTTGTCACTCTCATACCTGCTGACTATTGCCTTGAGATGGGAGAACCTGGAAGAACAGATATTTCATATGTGCTTTCAGTAGCCGTGATTATCATCAATTAAGTAATCAAGACAGCCATTTTTATTAATTTGTTGGCTCTAGAAATTTCCCTAGTGTAGTGTGATTGTCCTTCTCATTCCTGCCCAGTTGCAAATTGACTTCTACCCACAATTCTTTTCATGCCTTCAGTACATGGAAACTCACTATACAAGAGAAAGAGAAAGGAGTTGGTAAGTATTTATTTACTGAATAGCTACAGTCAATCATATCACTTCATCACAATAATTCTGTAGATAGGTATCTTTAACCTTATTTTGAAAGGTAAAGTGAATAAGGCACAGGGTTTTAAATAATGTGGTGAAGTATATATGCCCATTGATACAAGCAGAAGTTAAATCAGACTCTATCACAAACCTGATTGAACGAATTAATACAACCAATGGGAAGTTTACTCTAACAACTTCTTGACATTGCTACCAATTCCTTCTATTCCTTGTAAAAACAGACAATAAAAAACAACAGAAAACCTTCCACCCCTTCTACCATATATATCAATTGACTTCCTCCTTTTAGTTTCCCTTTAGTTCTAGAAGATGCTTCTGACTTCAATATCTTGAATGATAGAATATTTCTGGAAAGCAACAACAAATGTCCTTAAGACAGACATTTATACCTATGAGGGGGTAAAGGGGTGGGGGACATGCATATTCAAGATTTATCAAATGATTTGATAAAATGATTTGTTAAAGGACTAATATTTGAGAAATACCTGGTTTTCATTTGAAATAGATGGCCAGAAAGGATGCTGTTTCCTCAACCCAACACTGGGACTTTGTTTCACTCTCTTCACTAAAGGTAAGAGAGATCTAAGGTGTTCAGTGGACAAAGTGCCACTTTTTCAGGTTTGTTACAAACAGAGAAGAAAGCAATTGGAGGGGAGAAAAAGAAAAGAATTAGAGTAAACAAAAAAGAAAATACAAAGAGCTGGACGCCTGTGGCTCATACCTATAATCCTAATTACTAGGGAGGCAGCAATCAGGAGGATTTCAGTTTGAAGCCAACACAGGCAAATACTTTGTGAGACCCTATCTCAAGAAAACTCATCACAAAAAAGAGCTGGTGGATTGGCTCACGGTATAGGTTCAAAATCCAGTACTGAAAAAAAAAAAAGGAAAAGAAAGAAAACATGGATAACTGGTATATAGGAAACAGAACAGACAGCCCATACCCTGAACAGGAATACAATACAAACCAGTTTCTACATTCGTTCTCTTTCTTGCTAGATTTCACAGCTATATAGACTTGGCCTTGATAATTGTCCATAATTCTTCAGTTCAATGATCCCTTTCTCTAGCTAGTGGATGACCCACAGGCTCCTGATTCATAGTAAGGAGAAATGAAAACACTAAGTTATTTTTAAAAGAGCCTTCTCTCTTAATTTATTTCTGGAACGGAAGCATCTAAACTACTAATATAGTATTACAGCTGATGTGATAAATTCCATTTAGTGGAATTATATATTCAGTATAATTTACTTGAGATTTTGAAGGATAAGTGATAACATGCCAGAATGACATTTTTTCTTTTGAGACAAACTTTTGCTATGCAACCCAAGCTGACCTGGAACTCATTATGTAGCCCAGATTGGCCTCAAACTCATGATTCTTCTGCCTCAGTCTCCCAAGTGTTGGAATTACAGATGTGTGCCTCCACACCTAGCTCACAAGTGGCCTCGTAGCTACCTTGCTTGCATCTATGATTACCCTAATATCTGCCACCTTTTTTCATGGACATTACCACCATTCACAAATGACTGAATATCACCCCATAAGACTAAGAGAACTTTCTAGATTCTATATTTGTCTTTTGCCCCATCCATCTCCTGTCAGATTTTTTTTCTGAGAGCTCTTCTATCTGAGAAAAGAAAATGACTGAATCTTGCCTATTCATAACTGAACTTACCTGGAGGAAATATGCCAGGGTGGAGGCCATTACCACTTGAGCTGGGGCTCCCATGGGGCTGACCACCTGCTATTCCAGGGTCACACTCCTGGTCTCCGCTGTTTCCTTTCCATGCTCTGTGCCATGTGTGACCTCTTGGTCTGGAATTCTTAAGGAGAGAAACGTTTCTCTGCAAAAAATCACTGTTTCTCTCTCTCTCTCTCTCTCTCTCTCTCTCTCTCTCTCTCTCTTTCTGTCTCTCTCTCCTCTGACTCTCTTATATTCTATGGTATTTCCTCCTGGTTTCCTTCTTTTTCTATTTTGGTTTTATACTCTCCATGATAGCTTCGCTTTGCCTTCTTTTCTTCTTTCTGATATCAAGTCTTTCTATGTTTTTAACTTTCTTTCTCCTTCTGCCCTCAGTAGGAAGATATTCAAGAACACATTTGTCCTCTGAAATTAGAGATATTTTTCTAGTTCTAGTTTCATGATGAGAAACTTGGCTTTGAGGACATCAAAGGCAGATTGCTAGTGATCAGAGATGTTCTAGTCTTGATCAGAAATCTAGTAACATTGTGGATCACTCACCAGTGCACTCCAGGGTGATTGTTGAAGATTGAAAGTCACCTGCCAATCTCCTTTTACCACCTCTGCATGTGATTAACATCCCCTGCTTGTTCTTTGAAATCCTCCATTCCTGTGTTGATAATCTGCTCTCCTAGTTCTGGGTCATTTATTCCTACCCAATGAGGTAGTACTGAGAAGTTACCAAATGAACTGGAAAGCTGCCCCATCTTTGGAGACAAACAGGTTTGAAAATTAGCATTTCCAGGTGCTATCGGTGGTCTGCTCTTCCACTCCAACCTCAGTTCCTGTTGAAACACACAAGTTGGACACAGGCATATTTTTAAAAACTGGTTTCCAAGATTTGACAGGCTTCTTTCTTTGTCTTTCTTCTCTTGCTCTCCTCCTTCCTCCTTCTTCCTCTCTCTCTATCTCTCTCTCTGTCTCTCTCTCTCTTCCTCTCCCCTTCCCTTCTCCCCTATTCTTTTCTTGTAAAGTAGTTTTTCAATTGAGCAATAGATCTTCTCACTGAAGAACTAGACATGGTGGCACATACCTGTAAGTCCAGCTACTTGGGAGGTGAGGAAGCCGGGTCATTTGTTCCTAGGGATTTGAGACTAGTCTGGGCAATATAGCAAAAGCCCATCTCAAGAAGAAAAAAGTCTTGCCACTTCAAAAAACAAAATCTAAAGTCAGAAGAAAAATTAAGCACACATAGAAAGTATATAAACCACTACAGGTGTGGCTCAAATGGCAGAGTGCCTGCTTTGCAAGCATGAAGCCCTGAGTTCAAACCCCAGTCCCACCAAAAAAGAAAAAAAAAAAGGTGAAATACTAGTAAAGAAACATATCTATAAGAACAAGTGAATATATTTAAGTAGGTAATCTTTTCCCTAATCCAAAGTATTTGAAAGGAACATTAAATGTTAGTTTACTGTGATATATATAACTCATAAGAATTGAATAAAACCATATTTCAAATTCTTTCTAACTCTGAAAACATAATTATACCAAGAAATTGTTGAAGGGAGACTGTTGGGTGGTACAAATCACACTCTAAATACTCTCGTACACCATGACAATGTAACACAAAGATGGAGATGGTAGACGTTGTTTTCTCATCTAGGGAAAGCACTGGTATCATGCCAGTTACTTAAAAGCTACCAGTTGCAAAACTGAGTAAGGCTGTTGGATTAACATGAAGAGTGTTTTACAAATTTCAGTAGAAAACTTAGCGAAGTAGAAGGTATAGGACAAGACCAGCAGGAGTTTAGTTCTCATCTTTCACTAAATTACTATGTCATTTCCCTAGTCCTGGTGTTCCCATTCATAAAGCAGGAGTAGAATGGATGCCATGGATCGGTGTTAGCTGTTGTTTCAAGGAGGCATTTTGAGTAAAATATTTCCATTAGAGCACTATACACACAGAAAGCATCATGAGACTTTGTCTTCTCTGATTTTTTTTTAATCAGATAAACAGTAAAACATCATAGGCAAGAGCCCAGTTAGGATGCCTGGGATTAACTACTTGCTTTGCCATTTATTAGCTGTGTGATCTGGGACAAGGTATTTCATTTCTCTATAGGGTCAGTTTTATATTATATAACAGGGGTAATGATATTTACTTCATAGTCTTACAAAGATTGAATAAGTTAATGTGTGAAAATCACATAGTAGTCCTGATAACAAATTTTTTATGTGTTAGTTAAGATGATTTTGATTTTAACTCTAATTCTCAAATGATCCTTCCGTCCAATATCGGGAATAATTACTGTCCTTTATTTGAGATACTTTAATATAAAGTGTACTAATCCCTTTCCATATGATATTTTAGTTTTCTAAGATTCTAGTTTTTGAGTATTTTTCCCTTATTAATGTGAACATCTTTTCTCCCAACCATACCAGCCTTCACCTGCAAGAACAGGTTTACCACTTAACATGACATTTTGTCCCTCCTTTCCCTTTCCTTCCATGTGATTGTAATCATCTTTTTGCCCTCCAGCTTCCCAACAGGTTTGAACAAAACAGGCCTCTGTTAATAACTGCCTTGTATTTTCTTTCTTAAAATGACTATTGCCATTTCTTTTTTTCTTATCAGAACATTCCCTGGGAACTCTATTCCTAATGAACATGCCTGTGCTTTGTGATAGTTCCTATTAAAGCCATTATGTTGGGAATGATGACAGAGGAAAAATCCATGGAGGTGAGAAAAGTGAAGAAGGTCAATATGGGATAGGAACAGAAAGGCAAGGGGCTGCGGCAGAGAGAGAATGAGCTCATTACCATCCTCCACAACCTCATGTGGTTCCATTAAGCTTGTGAATCATTAGCTTGTACCCACATTAATAAGGATTTATATTGGAATAGAAAGTGGCCATGCACAGACCTTTTCACCTGTGCTTCAGGGAATTGTTATACAACCACAATAACAAGTGTATCCAAATAATTGCTTACTTGTGGTTCCTTTGGTTATTCTCCTTTTGACCTTGGCTAAGTCAGGTGGCCCACCATGGATTCCTTTTTCTTTCTTTGCTTCAGTGAAATCAAAGCCAGGATGATTACTACACTAAAGCACCAACATCAAGCTATAAGGAGCTGAGCAGTGGGTTGGGTCACAACCATGGCTTCAGAATAAATAAGATGATAGAAGAAGTAAGGTGCATCTTAACATTACTGAGAGTTTCATTAGGAAGTGCTTCTGTCTTATGAGCCAGGATCACAGCATAGATATTGAGCACCAACCTCAGAGGCATCAAAAGTCAGTAAGATGATTAAATTAAAGAAGTTAAAAAACACAGGATTCACTTTATCAAAGAATGCATTAGATTTATATGACATGTAGCTTATTCCCACAATGTGACTAACAAGACAACACATACTATATATAGCATTTGTGGGTCACAAGCTTTGGGTCTCACAAGGCTAAATTTAAGATGGCTGAGAGGATGCATTTTCATCTGAAGGCTTGCAAGTTTGCTCAGAGAGAATGCATTCTTTTCCTTTCCTCCCTTCTTCTTCTTCTTCATTTTTTGTTGAGGTAGAGTATCACTAAATAGCCCAGGTTGGTCTTGAACTTGGGATCTTCTGCCTCAGTCTCCCAAGTACTGGGATTACAGGCATGTACTGCCACATCCAGCTAAAATGCATTTCCTTATAGCTGTAGTGTTAATGTAAACTTGCGTCTACGTCCTTTGTGTTTGTTTTTTTGTTCTGAGGTAAGGGCTCCTTGTATAGTTCTGGCTGACCTGGAGCTCACTATGTAGCTAAGACTGGATTGGAACTCGGAATCCTCCTACCTCAGCCTTGTGATAGCTGGGATTATAGGCATGAACCACTACATATGGCTGATAAGCTTGCTTATTTAACTCTAGATGGATAGAGATAGGAGGTGAGAAAGGTTTTAGAATACTAGTCACTGCATCCTATTTAATCATGTACATATGATCATATATATTTTGTCACTTTTGCTATATTCCAAAACATGGGTCCTACCCATGCTCAAATGGAAGACATTACACTAAGTCATGACATCAGGATGTGGAGACAATTGGAGCCTCCTGAAATATTCCAAGTCTATATAGTTATCTTCCTTAAAAGAATTATGGAAACAATATCCATGGATGTTTAAAGATAGGAGGCACTTAAATGCCTGTCAACAGATTAAATAAAAAAAATGTGGTCTATATAGTCGATAGAATATTATATGACCTTAGACAAGAAGGGAATTCTGACACATGTTAAACATGGATGAACCTTGAAGACATTATGTTAAGGAAAAAAAGTCAAACAAAAAATAACCAATGTTGTATGCTTCCACTTAAATGAGGTATGCTGTAATGTAGATCTTGAATGTCCCCCAAAATGTTTATGTGTTGAAGAGTTGGTCACCAGCCTGTGGTATAATTGGGAGGTGGTGGAACCTTTAGGAATGGGGCCTAGTGGAAGGAAGTTAAGTAATGGGAGGTGTGTCTGTAACAGGGAAGTTGGGACGCTGACCCTTCTTTTCTCTTTCTTTCTCTCTCTCCTTCCTGACCACCATGTGTTGTGCAGCTTTGCTCCACTGCTTGCCTTTACCCATGACATTCTGCCTCACCACAGGGCCAAAAGCAACAGAGCCGACTCATCTTGGACTGAAACAATGAGCCAAAATAAACCTTTCCTCCTTATAAATTGATTATCTCATATATTTTGTCACAGTAATGGAAAGTAGCCAAACTTATAGAGACAAAACTGGTGGCTTCTGGGAGAAGAGGAAGGAATAGGGAATTATAGTAATGAGAGTTCTCTAGAGAAGCAAAATCATTAGGATGCATACATATGTAGAAAGAAATTCATTATAAGAATTAGCTCATGTGATTATGGTGGCTCCAGTGTAAGCTAGCAGACTGAGGATCCAGGAGAGCCATTGCTACAATTCCAGTCCAAAAGCTAGCAACTGAAGACCTAAGAGTCTGTAGTAAAGTGTCAGCCCAGAGGCCATTTGCTGGAGGGTTGCTTCTTACTTGGGGAGAGGTTAGTCTTATTGTTCTTCAGGCTTTCCTGAAGAACAGGAATAATGTTTCTACTTTAAAATAAAGTTTCTGCTTATGTGAAAGTTATCATGGTGATTAGAAAAATGTATCCAATTAGGATCTTGCCTCCTAACCTAGTGCTCACAGCTGACAGTCAAGGGAAGAGGGATGGCACTAGAGTGATAAAGATAAGTTATATTTAATTGTTATAAGCTGATTGGACAAGAATGTATTTGCTATGTACTGGAGTTTTTTGTGAGCTGTGTGATGGAGCAAAATGTTAAGTGGCCAAGAAACTATTTTCAACTTGATACTAAACACCCTGTAGAGAAAAAGTGAAGACAGCTGGGTGCAGGTGGTTGGTTAGTCATGCCTGTAATCTTAGCTATTAGAGAGACAGAGATCAAGAGGATTGTGGTTGGAAGACTGCCCTGGGCAAATAGTTTGTGAGACCCTATCTCAAAAATGCCCAGTACAAAAAAGGGCTGGGTATGTGACTCAAGTGGTAGAGTGCCTGCCTAGCAACTATGAGGCCATGAGTTCAAATCCCCTCTACACCCCCCAAAAGACAGAAAAAGTGAATACAGAAAGCTAAGGGAGGAAGAGGGAAATAGAAGCCTCATTAGGCTGTCAATACTGGTGATTTTTCTTCCAAATTAGCTTCCTACATACTTTATTTATTTTTCCATTCTTCTTTTATTAATCCTTTTCTTTTTACCTTTTCCACCGGAGTGATTTAAAACAAATTTCAGCCATCATTTCACTTTGTCCATAAATAATTCAGAAAACACCTTTAGTAGGTAAGGGTTTTTAAAAACACATATAACTTCAAAGACATATTTCCTTTCTGGTTAGATGCTTGTGGAGGAAAATGGGCAAACATTGTATTCATGAACACGTACAGACATACTTATGCTGAACCCATGGAAGAAACTTTCTGACTCAAATCAATCATGAGGTAAACTAAAATGCATCCTTTGCTGGGAAACTTAACTATACTGATGTTACTACTAATAGTGGTTATAACTATTAATTTTGAGTTTTTATTAAGTTTATTTTCATTCAATATCTCATTTGAATCACTATAGCAATATCGTCAAGTAGACATTATCCCCAACTTCTAGACAAAGACATAGATTCAATGTTAAGAAATCTCCAAAGATGGTAGACCCAGGGAAAAATTTGAAACTAGTTCCAAGGAACTCTCTGTTGCCCTGTTACACTACCACTATATGAAATAATCGCCCTAGTTGAGTACTAAAATTACCTAGGACACCACAGCCAGAAATGGGAATCCAATGTGATTCACCTCAACTGCCTAATTCTATTGCCAGAATTTTCTATTTAAAATAGTGAAAATTAAAAAAGAAAATGTGTGACTTATAAAAGACAAACTGCCACAGTAAAATTAGTAAACAAATAAATGTGAACATTGGAATCAAATAACTTGGTCCAAATGCACACTATCCCACAAATCTAGTGTGATTTACTCTCTCTGCATTTATTTTCTTATTTCACAAGTGTCTATCTATGATGTCGTTCCTCTAAAGCTCATGGAAAGTACAGTTTCCCTTTCACAAATTGCTTAGTGAAATAACATAAAACACTTAACAGAATCACCACTTTCCCCACCTGCAATAGACATAACCCAAGAATTTGCGTTAGTCAACTTCCCAATATGAAGCAAAGCCTCCCCTTCCTCATGCAAGGATTGAGTCATTCTCCTTATTAGATAACAGTAGCTATTTAAACACTCCTTCAGAAGCTCCCACAGTTAAAGTTTGTTGAAGTCCTTGGCTGCTTCACTCTCTCATTCTTGGCATGAGTTTGGAAATGACTTTTGATGACCTGAAGATGAAACCTATGAAGGACCAGCCTAATCACAAATCATATGGAGAGAAAGCTAAAGGTATTTGGGGTGGGTGAATGTGCATAGTGACAGAATCCCAGTGTTATCTCAGAAATGTAAATTTACTGAAGAATGGTGTTAGAAAGCTAAAACATTCAAGTTTTGGAATATACAATACAATTGATACTACTTATTTTGAAGAAAAACAAATAGGATTTGATGGTGATGATAGCAATGATAACTAAGTTATTCTGAGTATTTGCTATAAGCAAGTCACATTATTTATTTACTTATTTGTTTATTTTTGTGATACTGGGGATTGAACTCAGGGTCTCACACTTACTAGTCCAGCACTCTACCACTTGAACCACTCAGCCAGCCAATTTTAGGTTGGATATTTTTTAGATAGGGTCTCCTGAGCTATCTTTCTGGGAACTGACTTCCAATGGCCTGCCTCCAGGGAAGCTAGGATTAAATGCTTGAGTCACTGACACCTGGCCAGCAATTGACTTTATTGGTTTTTTAAATTTTTTTTTGTATTTTGGTGGCACTGGGCTTTGCATTCAGGGCCTCACGCTTGCTATGCAGGCATTCTTACTGCCTGAGCCAACCCACAAGCCCTTTTTTCTTTGTGATGAGTTTTTTTTCAAGATATAATGTCATGAACTATTTGCCAACTTGGAACTGTGATCCTCCTGATGTCTACCTCCTGAGTAGCTAGGATTACAGATGTGTACCACCAGTACTTGGCCAACATGACTTTACATGCATGCTTTCTCTAATTTTTTACAATAACACTTTGAAAGTGGTATTCATATCATTTCCAGTTTGGAGGACTAACTTCAAATCAGGAGGATTAACAAAATCACCCAGTTTCACAGAGCTAGTAGATGATAAAGGCAGGATGGTACCACAAAGTCCCATTGATCCAGTCCATGAAAAAGCTCAAGAAATGCATTCACCCAATGTGTTCAGCGATAATTGTACAAACTTCTTGAGACACTGCAAAAAAAACGTAAATTTTTTTTTGACGTATTGGGGCTTGAACTCAGGGTCTACACCTTGAGTCATTCCACCAGCCCTTTTTTGTGATGGATTTTTTTGAGATAAGGTCTCTCGGAACTATTTGCCCTGGCTGGCTTCAAACCACAATCCTCCTGATATCTGCCTCCTGAGTAGCTAGGGTTGCTGGCGTGAGCCACCGGCGCCTGACCATAAAATATTTTTTTATTTTACTTTTTTACTTGAAATAGTTTTGAATTATCCAGAGCAGATTAGGTGACATTCAATATGATTTGGCATAAGTTATATTTTATTGTATATCATCGCTTTGAAAAATTATTTCTATTTGATACACAGGGTAAATTAAACTGCTTAGATGTATACAGTAATTGATAAGCACAATTCCACAGGCAACCTGGATAAATTGCCTTTTATTTTATAACCATTTTGAGAAAAAGAAACACAACATAAAGAGAGGAGGACAGACAAGTGCTATCAGAAATTTAGGTAAAGAAGTTTCAGATCATGTTTCTATACACAAGATAGACATTTCTTTTAACAGGTAAAATAATGGTGAGAATTGAATGACTTAAAGTTTGAGCTGATGAACTAATAGTATGAAAACAGTACTGGCATTTCTTGATAGGTTTACATGTTAAGTAGTTATGTGTTTAGTCATTCATTTACTCATTCATTTTTCATATAGCAAATACTGAGTGCTTAACTTTTACTATAAGTATAAAATGAATTCTTTCAGAATTTTGGTTAGATCAATTACCTACTCTGAAGGCTCTGATTATTCTCTGATTAAAAAGTCATGAGAAGGAGTAATAATCTCTGCCTACCACCAAGACAGGATAAAAGGAGCCCCATAGATAATGAAGACATGTGCCTTCTTTTCACATTGTGTGGGACCTATGATTTTTTTTTTTCTTCTAAAAATTCAGAAATTTATCATTCAAAAGTGGTGGGCACACTTGATGTTCTGTAATGTGGAATGAATGTTGAACAAAGAGAAAGGCCAACTGAAAGATTTAGACAAAGGTACAAGCTAGGATTAGGCAATTATTTGCAAGAAGCACAACTATCTTCTACTTCTTCTCTGCCAGTTTGCCACACACTTGTGAGAAGAGTGCAACTATTGAATCAGTGAATGAACTGTATTTTTCTGTGTCAAACTTCCATTTTCTTTTCATCACCTGTAGAGCCTAAGAATGCTGTTAACACATGGGAACTCTGTAATATTCATATACATTATAATTACATATATATTATATTACCACTGATTGACTTGAGTCATTACACGTTTACACTGGAACTTTTGTGATACAATACTCTAAGCAATGTGTCCTGAAAATTGGATTAAAGGCCTGTGTTTGGGTTTTATCATCTACATAGTCGTAGGCAATTGACTAAAACTTTCAGTTTGCTTCTTTAAACATAGTGGCTAATAATATTGCTTTATTTATTATCTCACAAAATGTGAAAACAAAATACATTTTATAGGATGCTTTTCTGCTAAACCAGTAATATCTGATATTTCAGTGGTGGAGCATGAAATTGAATATTTATCTCATTAGGAGCTACATGACTTGTTTTCATAAAATGGTCAGTTTTTCTCTGGTTAACAATAGACTACACTTGGAGAGACATGCCGTTAATATAAGCCAAATGCATATCAGGGTTTCATTCTTATTTTTCTTTGGTCAATAATCCCAGTTCCAAGCTGTAATTTTAGTGGAATAAAAATTAAATGGCATTGAATTATGCATAGAATCACTTGAATAAATCTGAATTGATTAATTGACAATTTTTTTTTCCACTTAGGTGGTCCTGGGTCTCAAACTCTGGACCTCTGAACTGCTAGGCCAGCACTCTAGGGCTTGAGCCACTCTGCCAGCCTGACAAAATTTTATTTGCTTGACATTGGACATCAGTTTCTATCATATTACTTATAAAATGTGTGTGTGTGTGTGTGTGTGTGTGCATATGTCTACATTACAAATATCAGGCTCTCTGATCTATGGATGAAGTTGATCCACTTAAGCTGAATTGAGAGTTCCTTAAAAAATTGAGTTACTTAAAGAGTCATTGTAGAGAGAGTATACAAAAAATAAGCTTTGGAATTAGATATTTAGAGTCATATATCTATTTAGTATCGAATCCTAGCTCTTAAATTTACCAGGTGCATGAGCAAATTACTTAAATGCTTTAACCATTCTATGTTCCATCTGTAAGTCTGTGCTAGGAATGATTTGTAGAGCCAATGGGAAGATAAGTAAGGAATGTAGACAGGATCCAAAGAATGGTCTGATGACTTTCTTCCATCTTTTTGTATTTCTGATTCTATCTTCCCTCTTTCTAGGTCTTCGTTTTCTTTCTTCTTTGTGGTGGTGCCCTGCTACTATGACTCTGGGGATCATTTGCCTGGGATTATTGGTGATCATTATAATGCTGGGGATGCAATGTAAGTGCTGAAATAGGGAAATGGAGTTGGAGGGTGAGGGTTTATAGTTTTGGGTTTTTTTGGTGGCACTGGGCTTGAACTCAGGTCTTCATGCTTGCAAAGCAGGCACTCGACCTCTTGAGCCACGCCTCCAGTCCATTTTGCTTTAGTTATGTTGGAGATGAGATCTCACTATTTCTCCGAGCTGACCTCAAACCACGATTCTCCCAACCTCAGCCTCTCAAGTAGCTAGGATTACATCTGTGAACCACTGGTACCTGGCTATAAACATAGCTTATAACTTTGTTTCATAACAACTGCAAAACAGCCTTGAGTTAGATTCATTTTAGGCAAAATATTTTAGAATGAGGTAAAGATTGAGTGGGTGTTTATCCTTCAAATGGATAGAGACATGGAATAAAGACTACACATAGTAAGTCTTTTTTATTTTATAACTTTTTTGTTTATTTTCCTAAGTTCATGGAGAGAGGCTGTTTAATTATTACAATAATTTAGGAATTACCTAACTTGAAATTTCTTATTTATAAGATCACCTGAGCCACCCAAAAGAAAAATAAATTTAATCTAGTTTTTGCTGAATTTTGATGAAGATGATTAAGTGCTCTTAATGTTAAGAACCAGAAATACAACTTTAATAAGAAAAACATTTAAAACAAAATATAACTTATATTTATATCATGGCCATGTGTGAAAGAGGAAATATTGGAAGGAAAAAAAAAAGAAGTGAAAATAAGTATTAGAGTGGCTAAGAAGGAAAGAAATAGTGTCCACCATTCATTTGATCCTCCATCAGTCAGGGTTGTAGATCTGCTATTTCAGCTAGCCAAGATCCAAGTTATTAAGGTGTTTGAAGTGCTATTTGTTTCTTAATTGTCCATGTCATAAAATATTTTTGTTTTCAATCTGTAAACACTTAGGGCCTTTCCTAATGATTTGGAGGTGTCCTCCACTTAGCAGCAGTAATTGGAAAAATCTAGCTTTGAGTCTTTGATAATCTTACAACAGACTCAAATTTGTTCTCAAGCATGAGTTCTGTTTTGCACTGCACCATCAAGATTCTAAAACAGAGACCTGTGACCCTTAACATTTACTGCTGCTTGATTTTACAACCTTCATTTAATTTCCACCCTGTCTAAAATGTACTGTAGCTAAAAAATGGTTTGTGATACAGTAATTTTACAATTCTGTGGGTAAACCTTCTTGAAAAAAAAGTCACAGTTCCTAAATAAAATAGGAAGTCTAGAAGGACAGACAGAGTGGGAGGAGATGTAGCAGAGGAATTAAGACAAAAATATAATAAAAAACTTACTCACAATTCCTAATAGTCATTGAGTCTGATGGGTGCCTGATCAAGTTGGATTATCTATATTTTATTTATTTCACTATATTACTTGTCATGTCTTTTGTGTATAACTCTCAATCAAACATAAAATCTTTGAAATTTTTAAAATTCATAACTGTCAGCACAGCTTCTGACATTGAAAATTACCCCAGGAATATTGAATAACTTCTAAATTCATAACTTCTGAGGTAGTTTGTTTCATTTTCCCTAGACTTCAAGGGGTTATTTGCTTCTCAATTGATAAAGTTCATAAAATATTTCTAATATCATTCTGTAAGTTCATACCTATTGTGAGAATAGATAATTTGTTTCTGTGCTTTGATTTCTACAAAATCCAGTGATGAGATATACATTAGGAATAGGAAATAGAGTCTTAATTCAGCTATAATTTAGTATTTCAGGTATCTGAGCTGTTAAAGCAATGCCAAGCAAACCTTACTCACCAGGAAGATATCCTGGAGGGACAGGTCTTAGCCCAGGAGCAGGCTGAAAACACTTCACAGCAGTCACAGAGGGAACTCAAAGAAATGATAAAAACCCTTGCCTGGAAGCTTGATGAGAAATCCAAAAAAGAAGTGGAGCTCCACCAGCTGAACTTGGACCTTCAAGAAGCGCTGAGGAGAGTGAAAAACTTTTCAGGTACTGGGGTTTGGGAAGTAAAAAGAGGCAGAAGTATGTGTGCTGTTGAAGCTTAGCTATTTTTTATTTTTTCAAAAATCTCTAAGCATGAAATTATCTTTTTTTATGGTACCAGGGTTTGAACTCAGGGCCTCCCTCTTGTTAGGCAGGTGCTCTACTACTTGAGTCACTCCACCAGCCCACAAAATTGTCTTATTGATATATGTATCATTATTCTTTCAGCATATTCTACACCAGAAAGTATCTGTTTTTGTTATTTCCACCTTACCCTATGTCAAATCCTTGGGACAGATGATGGCTTTCTCTAAAAGAAGAGCCTCTTCTTGTTAAAAATCTAACTTTGAGATTTGTCTGGAAAAGCCCTCTCAGCCTCTTCCCATAAATATTTACCTGTTTCCATTCCAGTATATCTTAATAGCTGGATTTATTATTTCTTCTTCTTCTTCTCCTTCTTTTAGCAGTACGGGGCTGGGGCTTGAACTCAGGTCCTCACAATTGTTAGGCGCTTTACCACTTGAGCCACTCCTCCAGCCCTGGATTCTTTTTCTAAGGAATCTTCTTGTCATTGCAGGTCTTTACCCCTATGTTTGAATTTATTCTGTGACACTGTTTCTTAAAGTGCATTGCGTATAAGTAGACTGACCATTTGAGTCACACCTCCAGCTTGAGTAGACTCAATGGAGGTGGGCTGGCCTGGAAATCTTAGGTAGATAATACTTCAGCTTACACAAAAAATATTAGATCCAGGAAGTCAGTTTATATAAGAACTGAACTATGTGAACTATCTAAAGGTACTCAGAATCTAGGAGGCAGACAGAAACAGTTGCACCAATAAGATTATTGTGTGAATTCTGATATTATTACAGTGGCTGTCTGCAGTATTTAGTTTTTCTACAGTGGGTCATCAAATCGCGCATGTTTCTAGCCATTGGGAGAGTTCAAAGGTATGAGATGCAGGAACTTTCAGCAACATGTCCCTTCCTATGAAGTGCAGGAGCAAGTGTACTTTTCTTAGGGGTCGGAATTAAGTGCCACTAAAAAGCAAATTTCTCTAGCTTCTTGCTTATACAACTCTCTTAATCTCAAATATGCAATTTCTTAACATAAAGATAGATACCCAATTCCTTTATTTTATACACAAAAGATTGAGACCAAGATCAAGTTCAATTAATAATACTTATGAGTGGTTTTGTGCAAAGTTTTATGGTTTATATAAATTTTTAAGCAAACTGTTCCTTAGCAAGTGTCAAACATACATTTAATCCTTTTAGAGAGTGATATTTCAAGGAAGTAAGTGAACCCAGCACTTCAACCCAGCTTAAGGGAAAGAGGCTTATGTATCAAGCACAGGAATGTTTGCATAAGCAGTCTTAGCTACATACCAACCAATGGCTTATTTCACAGATGAGGCAGTAAAACAGTTTTGTGTTTATTAGTTGTAAATTGTGTGGGATTAAATCTACATCAGGACCATTCAGAACCATCTCCCAAAGATGCCAGACCTGTACAGTTAATCAGACATGGTTAGCAGCATGTCCGTTGCTGGCAGATATACCAGATAACATGCATAACATGCTCCATTTCTCACAATGTCAGATAATGGTCAATTAATAGAGATTCCAAACATTACTGCTTTCATCAAGCATCTTCAGGAAGATTATATAGATTCTGATTAGAATATCTGGAGGAGCATCAATAACTATTTCCTTAAGTGACTCAAACTTAGACGTGTGAGAGGTAGTATATTATTGTGATTAAATGCACAGACTTGACAGACTGACTAGGTTCAAATTCCCATTCTCTATCTGTGCAATGAAAACTATTAACAGAATCTATCTCATAGAGTTGTTGTAAGGATTAAGTGAGTTTTGTATATGTAAAGTATTTCCAACAGTTTCTGGCATTTGATAAACAATGTCAGCATAGTTAAGTTTTATATATAATATATATTTTAATGGTATGTTATATAATATAATTACTTTATGATAGATAGATAAAGAGGGAAAAATAGAGTTGGTTTTTGCTATGTTTTTCTTGCTTTGTCATAGCTTAGAAAACTTGCTTAAATTATCTCTTCAGTCCACAAAAAGGGTTACATTGTTTAAAATTACAAAATATGATGGGACTTGGCAAATAAGAGTGTTACATTTATTGCTTTCAACTTGATCTTCCTATCTTTCCCCTTTCATTGTTCAGTGCTTTCCTACATTCTCATGTTTGACAAAGAAAGTTATCTGCTAGTTTTATGTCACAATGAAAACAGAAATTAAAATGTAACTCTTCCCAAAGATTTTAATTTTTTTGAATTTTGGTCACAGTATAGAACAAAGGTTTTGTTTCTTTAAAGAGATTTCAAGTGTTACTAACTCAAGAAGATGGTCCTGAGGATGACAGTGACTTGGGAGCTGTGGAAAACAATTCCATAAACATATGGATATTAGCACACTTTACCTATTGCCTAATCCCTGAGTTAGGTTTGTTGGACTTCCTGGTAATTTTGCAGCTGAGAAATTCCTTATTTTCTTAAATCTTACTGACATTCGGATCCTTATTACACATCAATATAGTGCACTCCCTAAAACAACTTTGTTCAAAAGGAATACAATGAGTGCTGCTATGTAACATTACATTTTTTAGTGACCATGTGTTTTAAAAAAGAAAAAGAAGCAGATGAAATTAATTTTAGTCAATTCAATTATTTTAGTCAATTCAAAATATTTGAAATATCAGTTCAACAGTAATCAGTGTACAATTGTTAATGAGGTATTTTACATTTTTTCTTACTAATTTCTCAAAACCAAATATGTATCTTATACTTACAGTGCATGTTAATTCAAATTAGCTAGCTTCAAGTACTTAGGACTCACACATGGCTACGGTATTGGTTAGCACATACTTAAAAGCAGTAGTCACAGAAGTTAGCTTTAATTACATTTTTCAAAGATGTGAAGTTTTAGCAAATATAAACCTAACTTTTTAGTAGCATTATAGCTATATTCCGTATTCATGCCTTCAAATTTCACTTTCATTATTCTATATATAACTGAAAAAAATCAGATCAGCCTTCAAAACTATATCCCATCTTAACTTACTTTTTAACAGATATAAAGCTATTAAATGAGAAGTCAGTTTAGCTTACTGAAATCAGAATGCTTTATTTCTTTTTCTTCAAAAAGAAAAGAAATAAAGATTTCGAGGCTACTTACATATTTTCAGAGTCTGGATATGATGTCAATTAAGAAGAAATGGCATGCACACGAAAGGACTAAAGGGAGAATTGGTGTAAGAATTACATAAATACTACTCAGACAGAATTCAGTGATTAAATACTTACCACTTTCTAGGCCCTTGTCCCCAAGATTGGATCTGGCATGGAGAAAATTGTTACCTGTTCTCCTCTGGACAATTTAATTGGGAAAAAAGCCGAGAGAACTGCTTATCATTGGACGCCCAGTTGCTGAAAATTAATAGCACAGATGATCTGGTATGTTTTCATAGGTGACTCTCTCTCTCTCTCTCTCTCTCTCTCTTCTCTCTCTCTTTCTCTCTTTCTGTCTCTCTTCCCTTGCCCCCTCCCTCTCTTTCTCCTTCCTTCCCTTGCTTCCTTCTTTTCTTTGCAGCACTTGGGTTTGAAATTCTTTTTTTCCCCTCCTTTTATTTTATCATTTTTACATTTACTTACATGTATATACATTGTTTGTACCACCTCCCCCCACCACCTTCCAGAACTTCTTTAAACCAGGCCTAGCCACTAATTACGTGCATGACTCTGGATTGACAGGCCGTGCAGCATCTTAGGCCTCAGCAAACGTCAAGGGGATGTCAGAGATTCATTTTTGTTCTTTGTTTTATGAATCTAATACCAACTAACTTTCAGATTCTAAAACTCCTATGTTAATTCCATGGACTAATTAACATTAACATGACTTTCCACAGGACTTCATCTGGCAAATGACTTCCCACTCCAGTTTCCCATTCTGGACAGGACTGTCTCTGAGGAAGCCCAGCTCATGGCTCTGGGAGGACGGTTCTCCCTTGAGATCCCGCTTGTAAGTTTGCTGTTCCTTGTATTGCTCAGGCTAAACTTTCTATGTCTTCCTGAACCTGCTTTGACGTTACTACTTCACTCCACCAGTGAGTGTCCTTCTCCCTTATTGTCTCACAAAAAAGATTTGACCATTTATCCATTCAAACTATGAACTTTTCTTCCCACAGTATTACTGGTTTGAAACTTTAAGACAAGGCTACGTTTCTGGCACAAGGTGGCAGTAAAGCTAATTTTTTTCTTTTCTCTTCATCTGCAGATTTAGACTTCAAGGTGCTTTTTCCCAGATGTACCCTTCAGGCACCTGTGCATATCTACAACAGAGAAATGTTTTTGCTGAAAACTGCATTTTATCTGCATTCAGTATATGTCAAAAGAAGGCACATCTATTGGGAGCACAATGACTTTCCAGCATCTGGAAGAAAAGAAGAAGACTTTTGAGCTTTATTCTGGAATTTAAGTTATTCTTTATCATGTGGGTGTAAATCATGGCTGCCCTGAGAACTGCCAGTTACTAACTGGCTACAGAATGCCTTAGCAGAGACTGAGACTGGGCTTATCAGCGAATAGAATGGAGGATCCATCTGCCTGACACCTTTATATCAAAAGTTGTGATTCTAGAATGGGCACAGTGGTTCATGCCTATAATTACAGCTACTCAGGAGGCAGAGATTGGGGTGGTTTGAGGCCAGACAGGGTAAAAAGTTAACAAGACCCCCATCTCAATGAATAAACCAGATATCGTGGAGCATGCGTGTGATCTCAGCTATGTGCAAAGAATATTTAGGAGCATCATGGACCCAAGGCTAATCTGGGCAAAAAGCACAAGAGTCTACCTGAAAAAAAACCTTAATGCAGAAAAGGCTGGGGGTATGGCTCAAGTGGTAGAGTACCTGCCTAGCAAGCATCAGACCCTGAGTTCAAACTCCAGTTCAGCAAAGTTGTGATTCTATCTACCTATACACACACACATATATAATTTATTATTTTCCTTTTTTATCTAGCCTGTCCCAAGTCTCCCCACTAATCTTCAATCCTTCTTCCCTTTTAAATTTGACTCCTATTTCATGTGGGGAGCCCTCTACACTCAATCTTCTCTACCTCAGTGCCATCTTCTAAAACTGAATAGGAGACAAATTGCCCAACAGCAAACATAAGGCAAAAGGGGAAATAAACCTGGAAACAGTGTGCGTGAAGAAATAGACAGAGGAGAGGCCACACTGCAATCAAGGGCTCCTGCTCTATCCTTTAAAAATCACTGCCACAGCTGGAGGAGTGGCTCAGATGGTAGAATGCCTGCTTTGCAAGTCTGAAGCCCTGAGTTCAAATTTCAATACCACCAAAAAAAAATTACTACTTATTGGTCTTTGTAATTAGGTCCATCTCCAGCCTCCACCATACACACACATGGGACAAGATGTGCCTCAGAAAGTAGTTAGTAATTTGCATGGTCTTTTCTATGAACTAACTTAATTGTCAGTTTCCCAATCAGTTATTATTTCTTCATCTTTTCTCTACCAAATAACAGTGTAATAGCTTTACTTCTTCAAGAACAGTATTTGTTAGAATCACAGGACATGTGTGTCCCAGAGGCAAAAGTAGAATGTTTTTTTCCCTAAAGTACATACCTTTTGTAGACAACCTCTCCTTAACTCTGTTATGCTATGCTAGAATTCAGAAACATACAAATCCGAAAAATGAAGACATTAAATACTAGAACAAACTGAGCCGGGCATGAATAGAAACAGGTGGAATTAGAGCTATCTAGAAATAGCTCTTCTCTTTTAGAGCTTCTATTCCCTTTCCACTCCCTTCACAGGCTGTTTTTCTTTAAAAGAAGCTTTTCTGTTATGGTACCCATACTATAACTCCAATTATATATGATCCTCAGGAAGACGAGATGTGTGCTCTTTTGTTCACAGCTTTGCTGCATAGACATATTTTCTAAGCATATTTAAAATGTTCAATTTGACATAAGCATGTTTCCCTGTGCTGAAATTGTCACTGCAATCAAGATAGTAAACATGTTCATTACCCCCAAAAGATTCATCTTGCTCCTCTCCAATGCCTCCTTCCCAAACAACCACCACAGTTTGCATTTTGTAGAATTTTATATGATTGGAATTATATAATATGTCTTTCTGTTGTCTAACTTCTTTCATTTTGGGATTCGCATGTCTCCATCTTGTTGCATGCATAAGTGTTCTTTTTGAATGTTTGAGATTCTCTCATATGGATATGTTATAATGCTTATTATCTGTTGTCTATTGGTGACATTTGGATTGTTTCAGTTTGGATCATTACAATAAAGCTGCTATAAACTTTTGTGAACACATCTTTTTATGAAGACAGAATTTCTTTTGTCTGAAGTAAATACTGAGCTTGGTAATGTCTGGACCTACAGTAAGTGCATGTTTAGCTATTTACAAAATTACTAAAATGTTATCCAAAGTTGTACCAGCATACATATGATCCAGTTCTGCTTCATCTGTGCTAGAAATTGCTATGGCCAATCTTGTAATTTTACCTATTCTAATAGATATATGGTTACATATAATTGAATCTTAGCATATATGCAAGTTTTTGAGACTTTTTAATTGGCCTCTCTCTCTCTCTCTCTCTCTCTCTCTCTCTCTTTATTTTTTCCAATTTGAGAGCTCTATATATTTTGTATGGAGCTCCTTTATCTGATAGGAGACTTGAGACTTTTTTTCAATCTGTGGCTTGTCTGTTTGTACTTTGAACATTATACCCAGAAAAGCAGAAGTTTATAACTTTGATGAAATCCATTTTCATGCTTTCTGTTGTCATTTCCAATAACTCATTGTATAATTCAATGTCACAAAATTTTTTCATATGCTTTTTTTTCACAGATTTTGTTTTCAGGTTTATGACTTAATTTAGACTTTTAAAGTCCTTTTAGTATGCATATGGATATCCAAATGTTTCAACATCATTTGTTGAAAGAATTCGTTCCTTACTGCATTGCTTTAGCCCCTTTCTCAGCACTCTTGTCCATGTTTACACGAGTCTATTTCAAAATTCTCTATTCTTTGTATGCACTTATTAGAGAATATTCACCCCACCCTTGCCACTATATTTTGCATACTGTAGTTTTATAATAACTCTTGAAATCATGTTGTAATAGTCTTTTAATTTTATTATTCATTTCCCAGGTTATTATATCTGATTTACAACATTACATTTCCACATTAATTTTTTTATTATCATATTGTTGTTGTACTGGGGGTACATTGTTACACTTATAAAAGTTCTTATAATATATCATAGTTGAATCACCTCCTTCATCATTCTCCTTTGTCCCCCTGCCCCACTTTCCAGGAATAGTTTCAACAGGTCTCATTTTTCCATTTTTATATGAATACATAATATTTCCACCACATTTGCCATCCTACACCCTTTCAGTATTTCCTCTCCCCCCGCCCCCTTACTGGTACTAACTTCCAGACAGGACCTATTTTACCTTCCTATTTGCTGTTTTTTTTTTTTTCATTTTTCTTTTATTATTCATATGTGCATACAAGGCTTGGTTCATGTCCCACCCACTTCCGCCCCCTCGCGCTCCCCCCCTAATACCCAGCAGAAACTATTTTGCTTATCTCTAATTTTTGTTGTGAGAGAGTATAAGCAATAATTAGGAAGGAATCAAGGGGTTTTGCTGGTTGAATAAGATACGGCTATACAGGGCAATTGACTTCACATTGATTTCTGTGGCGTGGGTGTTACCTTCTAGGTTTAATCTCTTTCAATAATAGGAAGGAACAAGGGTTTTGCTGGTTGAGATAAGGATAGCTATACAGGCATGACTCACATTGATTTCCTGTGCGTGGGTGTTACTTCTAGGTTAATTCTTTTGATCTATCCTTTTCCAATAATAGGAAGGAACAAGGGTTTTGCTGGTTGAGATAAGGATAGCTATACAGGCATGACTCACATTGATTTCCTGTGCGTGAGTGTTACCTTCTAGGTTAAAGTCTTTTTGATCGATCCTTTTCTCTAGTTCCTGGTCCCCTTTTCCTATTGGCCTCAGTTGCTTTAAGGTATCTGCTTTAGTTTCTCTGCATTAAGGGCAACAAATGCTAGCTAGTTTTTTAGGTGTCTTAAAAGGCATTTTTGGTTGTCTAAGATAGCTATAAAGGAGTGGCACTTCCATGTATATACGTATTATAACCAGAATTGGTTCAACTCTATTTTTATCCTTTGTACCTTAGTCCCCTTCTTATGGTAATTTAAACAGATTTAAAATTTCTATATTCATTCTTGTACAGAAAGCTTATCAACCATATTCACCTTCTCAACTTCCTTCTTTTACCCTCCTTCTCTTGTTAATGACCTCACCTTAGCATGACTGGTTTTCAATTATATCGCTTGCATCTATGTATTTATTTTTATTGTTGTGCTGGGGGTACATTGTGGCATTTACAAAAGTCCTTACAATACATAAAACATCTCATACTTGAATTCACCCCCTCCATCATTCTCCTTTATCTCCCCCTATTCCAGGAAGAGTTTCAAAAGGTCCTATTCTTCCATTTACATACATGTATACACAGTATTTGCACTAAATTCACCTTTCTATACCCTTTCCCCACATCCTCCTTGCTCCCACTGGTACCACCAGCCCCCAGACAGGACCTGTTCCTCACTCTTGTTCTTTGATTTTGTAAAAGAAAATGAATGACATTTTTGTTTAAGAAAGCTACACAGGGAGTTTCCTTGTGACATTTCCATGTATATATGTATTATAACCCAAGTTGGTTCATCTCCACTATTTTTATTCTTTTTACCTTAGTCCCCGTCTTATGGTGATTTCAACAGGTTTAAAAATTCTATATTCACTCTTGTATAGAAAGTACATCAATCATATTCCCCTTCTTAACTTCCTTCTTTTACCCTTCCACTCTTTTGTGACTTTCCCTTAACATGACCTGCATTTCATAATATTGCTGTATTTGCATTGGGCCTATATTCCACATATGATAGAAGCATGTGGCCTTTGGCTTTCTGAACTAGAGTAACGTCACTTAAGATGACTTTCCCTACTTCTATCCATTTACCTGCAAATGATAAAATTTCATTCTTCTTTATGGTTAAATAAAATTTTGTTCTATACAAATACCACATTTTCTTAATCCATTTATCAGTTGTGGGAAATATTGACAGTTTCCATAGATTGGCTTTTGTGAATAATGCTGCAATAAACATGGATGTACAGTGTCTTTATTGTAACCTGACTCACAGTCCTTTGGGTATATCCCTGGAATTGCTGAATCTTATGAGAGTTCTATTTTTCGTGTTTG